ATCCACGGGCATGACTAGTGAGGCTCTGGGCGTGTCTGTGGCGCCCAGTTTCTTTCAATCCTGCGTCAGCGACGGCAAGACGGCACGCATGGAGGATGTGCTCAAGTTTAAGGTATGTCACACATCTAACTATGCTCTTCTACTGGGTACCTAATTTGTTTCTTTTCTGTCTCGCAGGTGGCCACGAAGATCATGCAGCACATAATCGATAAGTTTGCCACACACGATATCTTTGGACGCGACAACTATGAATACTATGCGCGCGTCACGGGACGCATTCTGAAGGTGCAGGACGAATGGATCTGCAGTTTTCAATACCCGCCGCCGCCACGCGGCAAATTGGCACAACAGAAATATGCATGTGAGTGGATTCTAGAGAAATATAGATACTCAAGTATTATACCCATAACTTAAGCGAGGAGCAGGCATAGTTTAAATGGGCTAACAGGTACCAAAAGCATTTATAGAACTTCAGTTCGTCTACACATGCATGTGCATAATATACTCGACCGCTCGATAAAGGGAGAGTCAAATTATGTTTTGAAGCTTAAAAAACTGTAGACACTAGAAAAATAATTAATTACATATACACTTTAAAACTGTATTCTAGAAAAGATTCATATTACTTTATAGTCTAGTAGTCCAATGCATATTATGCGGAATGGGTATATCAATGCATATATTTATAAATTCTTTGAATATGAACTGAAATGGAATTTATGCCAATAGACCTGTTTCTGAGGCGCAGTTAGTTATGACATAGTATATCAGAAACACCCACAACCAAAGAACAACTACCTATCTAGTATTAAAATCTCAATAAGGTATACAGATTTTAGTTACAAGGGTTGTTTCAGAATTTTCCAGAGGTATACTGTAACGAATCGATTACTTGGATACGCCTAGTATAGTTGAGGGGCCACATATAGACAATGTATATAGAAATGTATTCTCAATTTGAGCTTGACTAATAAATCTTTTCTTATTTGCAGTGCAACATTCTTTGGAGGCCGAAAAGACTTGGTTGCAGTGCCAATGCGAGCGTTGGGGCTTACGTGAGTACCCATTGCACCTTGATTTGTTTTTAAGAACTGTTTATGCCTACTTAACTATATATTTATCATCTATATCTATAATCTGTGCTATTCCGACTTGGGGTCTGTTCTGTGCTTAATTCTTAAGTGCATTGCTTGGGAAATATGTTTTGGGTTTCTTTGCTTGGGGCTTAACACAAGTTCTTCACACACACACACACAAGTTTTCGCTTCTCCCTCTCTCTATATCTCTAACTATGCACTCTGCTTAAGGCACTTTCGCTCGAATCACAACAAATTCTCTATGTCTACATATTTATATCTATTTCATTGCTCATACAAAACCTACCAACTACGTACGAACTACTCTTAAAACCGAAACGTGTTGCATGCAGTGGCCCAGGAGGAATCTCGTTCGACGCCCGCACTGCTGACCAGCTCCAGTTCGGCGCTGGAGAACAGCGTGCTTTCGCTGGGCGTATCGCCAGAGCACTCGTTCATCGAGAGCTGTGCCCGTCTCTCTGTGTCGCTGGAGGGCCCCGGCATCTTTGCCATGACCAGTTCACCGCTGCCCGCCAAGCGCAATGGCAACGGCAACGGCAATGGCACTGACTATGACTATGATGATTATGCGGACGATGATGAGGATAACGATGAGCTGGCCCACGACTTCGCGGCCGAGCTGGAGCTGAGCAGCATTGCGCCTGCCACGCCAGCATATCAGCACCAACATCAGCAGCAACAGCAGCAGCTGCGCGGCTTTCAGCGTTTGAAGCAGAGACATCAGCACATGATGGGCGCAGCGAGCAACTCGCAGGAGGATGACGAGGATGAGGAAGATGATGAGGATGACGAACTGACAACCGTGAAGCGTCGCTATCGTCAGAACAAAAAGAAGCCGTTGCCCAGCGGCCATCACCAGCGACGCCTGCGCACCGGTACCAAGAGCCTCGACGGCGGCGGCGAGCGACGCGGAAGCAATGCAACGGGAGCCACGGGAGCAGTTGCCACAGCTGCGGCCACAGCGACAACAAGTACAGCTCTCGCCGGCAGCAATGGCGGCAAATTGAAGCAGCAACAGAGGACCTGCAGCCGTTGCAATCGGGGCATACGCCACAGCAGCTCCTGCAGCTCGAATTCGGGTGGAGCCGCTGGCTCCAATGGTGGAGGCAATGGCAACAGCGGAGCCAACTCTGGCGGCATGACCATGGAGGAGCTGCGCGCCGTCAATCGCTATGCGGAGAGCACCAAGAGTCTCTCGTATTTGCCACAGGTGAGGGATAAGTTCTGGCCTGGCTCTAGAATATCCGTTTAAAAGGAAGCCAACCACACCCAAAAAAAAAAAAAAAAAAACTGATTATAATCCCAATCCAACAACCTTCCCCTAGCTTTTAGCCAACTTGCTCGAATTTTAAGTTCTGTATTCTTTTTGCAGGTTTGAGCAAGCAAACTGCAAAATATCTTTTGCGAATTATTTAATAGTTTTTAAGATTTTTCTTGATTTGATGAATTTTTTTACTTTTGATTTGTATTATTATTATTTTTATTTCCTTATTTTGTAATCTCTAATATATTCACGCTGTGTATTTGTTTAGTTTCAATTGATTATCATTTTTTGTTTGATTTGTTTAATTTTATAAAAATAACTTTTGGACAGCCGATTGATTCCTGCCACGCTATAAACCCACTTTCACTTTCTTACTGACCGAAATTTGAACTTTCAATTAATCTGAAACACGATTTTTCTAAATTTTGAACATTTTGCGCCTTTCTCTAGTATTGTATTTTGTGCTATACTATATAATATATATATCTAACTAAAGCTGCGCCTGCAACAACAACAAAAACAACAACAACAAGAACTACTTACAGACTCACAGCACACACACACACACACACACACAAATAATACAACACATCTTTACATTTAAGTGTATTTATAAGCAAATCTGGCACTAAAAGCGCAGAAAAATACTCGAAAAAGTACAAAAACTACACACTGTACAGACTGTACAAAAGTTGAGGAGACAACAACAATAATAATTTTGTTTTTGTTCATTATTTGTTTGTAATTATCTATCACATTTATAATTTTGCTTATTTTTTGTGTTTTTTTTTAATATAAATATGTAATCTTAACAAAAACTTTATTCCATAAAAAACAAAACATGCAAACAGAATTTTACACAAATTTTGTTAAATTTATTTAAAGATGTTCTGCAACAATAAAAAACACATTGTGTTCTAAGGAATAACATATTGCGTATATAATTTATATTAATTTGATAATAGAAAATAGAAAATAAATTTAGAACATATATATGTGTATATATATTTATAGGACTTATCGCTGATAACTGTCGAATCAAGATTTAAGCCCAGACATATTAAAAGCAAACAATTGAAAAACAGTTCGCACATATCTATAGTTAATATCTTATCTACATTATTATTATTTAACTTTTAAAAACCAAAGCAAACTAAAATACAAAACACCAAAAAATAAACACAGCACAAATGATTTTGTTTTAGTTATTTGGTTAATAGCTTAAGTTATGTTTAAGCCACGCAATTGTTAAATTTGCATTGTTAATTGTTAATTTGTAGTTTTGTTTGTTGTCGTCTTGTCGTAGCCTCAATTAACTGAACTCTTTGTTTGTTGCTTGTGCTCGTATCTTGTCTCTCGTTTCCTTATCTTGTTTTATGTCTTTTATTTAGTAGTTTGCCACAAAATTAACACAATAATTTAACTTATAGTTTAAGCCACACACACACACACACACACATACACACACACACCTGAAAACGTCGCAACTGCATATGAAATTCCTTCATTGTTTCACAATTTTTAAATGTTTCATAAAGTGTTCTAAACAATTATCAAACGCTTGTTGGCGGTTCCCTTTATTTATGCCAAATTGTTATTAGCTGCAATTTTGCTTAGCACTTTGTATGCTTATATTTTATGTTGTTTATGATAAAAGGGGGTATTCACAGAAGAATTGATTTAAATTCTCGTTCGAACTAAAACATTGCAAAAATAAATTTTTAAAACTAATTTTATCTACAGTGAATACCCTTTTGTTTTTATATAATTTATTACCGCACTTTTTTTCTGCTGCGCTGTGCTATAAATATATATATGTAAATAATAGTATTTATAATTTTTAATGTTAACAACTTTTTTATTTATTAAAGTTTCTGTTTGTATTTTATTATTTAATTTTTCTTTAAAGCAAATTCTACAAATGTCTTAAAAATCTTTTAAATTTTAAGCAAAACAAACTAACTAAATTTAAAAAGAACCAATCTTTTTAATTATGAACAAAATCAAATATTTTTAATGCCAAAACTCTAATGCGAAATTTTTGAATCCCCGTCTTCCCCAAAAAAAAAAAAAAACCAACAACACATCACAACAACAACAACAACGACACATGAAAACAACAAAAACAATACAAAAATCTCAATGCAAAAATCCAAATATAAATCACACACACAAAAATGTGTTAGGTTCATGAACGCCAAACCGCACGCATGCGCACCCGCTCCGAGTGGTTCTTGGGGCCTCGGGATGCGGTCGTCTCGCTGCAGCTGCCGGCGGATACATGCAGCAACTGCTGCCTGGCGGTGGCCGCCGCCGCTGCTGCTGGTTACTTGGGCGGCGGCAGCACACGCGACATGCGCCAGACTGTTGCCGGCGTCGGTGGAGCTGCTGACATCGATGCGGAGCGCAGCCAGGCGGCGCTGCTCTATCACTTCTATCGCAGGCAGCAGCGTGAAAGGGAACAGCAGCCGCAGCTGGACGACATGATGGACACTGAGGACAGCTACAGCTACAGTCATCGTCAACAACAACAACAACCGCCACAACAGCAACACATACATTCCAAGGGTCTGCTGCGGCCGCCGCAGCAGCAGCAACAGCGCCGCCTGCTGGTGGACGCCAATTCGGGTAGTTATAAAACGGAAGCCACACTAACCAACAATCACCAATTCACGAACGCACCAGCTGGCAAGCTAAAGCCTAACAACATTCGCAACAACAGCAGCAGACTCAGCAGCAACATGTTGCAGCGGCAACACTTGCAGCATGCTCAAAGCTTTTATCTACACGAAACACGTTACTACTCCACACAAAATCTACCTGTTGCTGCAGCTGCTTCTTCTGCTTCTTCTGCTGCTGCTGTTGGTGTTGCGCGTGTTGACAGCAACATAACTGATTCTGACAGCGACTGCGATTCGCTGGATGGACGCGTGCTGCACACGCTGCAGGCACACGAGCTGCAGCAGCATGTGCAGCCAACGTCGCTGCTGTTGCGCCATTCCACGCCGCTAATGTTGCATCGACACCAGCAGCGGCGTCTGCGCTTGGCCAGCAATGCGTCCGCCTTATCGCTCTATCAGTCGTTTGACACACAGCGCAGCAGCAGCATCCATCGCAACAACAATACCAACGCCATCAACATCAGCAGCAGCAGCAGCAACAACAGTCATGCGAGCAACAGCAACAGTAACAACAACAACCTGGTCACAGTCATTTTTAATGTTTTGGATTTCCTGTTTTAAAACAGTTGTTTTTAATGTTATCATTTTGTAAAATCATCACTTAACTAAAACAGTTTGCAAGTGGAATGTCCTGTGTTGTAGCCACGTCCATCTAAAACTGACATTTTCTCATGTGTATCCATGTTTTAATTGAGATCTCTTTCAACATTGCAATAAACATTCACATACTTGTGTTTAACATGCATTGCAAATAGTTCTCTGAACTCTTTTCGAAATGAATTTTGTCCAAGCATCAACATGAATGTTATTAACTATTTAATTTTGTAACATTTTCATTTGTGTCCATCATGCAGCATATTTAAAATTGTATATTCATTTCTTGAACAAACCAACATGGAAATATCTCCAACAATTAGCAGTTTTTTCAGATATGATAGTGCTTGGAATAGACAATTATATATTTTCTGTCAACTCAAGCGATTTTCCAAATGATTGAAATGTTTTATGACAATTTAGCAATAATCTCTTATGAGATATAATAGACTTTCTTAGCAATACTCTAAATCCAAAATGTGATTATTCCGGGTATAAAATCGAAATACATTTAACGTATATTACTGGTTCTCTTAACTTCAACTTAATATATAAATATATTCAGAGTGAAGTCCTAGATCGTAATCGAGACAATCGAAATATATCATTTGCATGCATCGAAGTGTTTTTCCGTTCACGAAACTCTTCAGTTACGTTTATTTTAATAGAAAATAACTTTTTGTTATCTAAATATTTATAACGTAAATATTTATTTATAATTCTAATGATATTCATGTATACTTATCTTATCAATATAATTTTGTATGTATGTATGTATGTGCATGTGGAAAGCGTGCTTTCGAGAATTTTTAAACATTTAATTCGTATTTATTTTATTGCTTTTTATGTTTAAACAATTTGAATTCTGTTTGTATTCAAAAACAAATATTTACATTTATTTATTAAATTTGTGTTAAAAGAAATGTTAAGCTTTTGTTTGTTTATTTTATGTATAGGACATTTAGAAAATTATGTAAACACACACACACACACACAACCCACTCACTCACACACACATCACAGACTCACAGACATTTTAATATATTTCCTGTAATTGTTGTTTATATTTGTTGTGTACTAACTTATCCAAAAAACAACTGTGTTTTATGTGTAATCTGCTTGTTATTTGTTGTTCATGTACTCTTGTGTAGTTTGTGTCTGTTAGCAACAAAACGCAACACGCCCACAGCAGCAGCAACAACTACAACAACCACAACAAGCACAACCACGATCAGCAGAATCCAACAACCACCAAACAACCATCCAACTAAAACCATAAATGACAAAAGAATTATCTTTGAAAGCCGATTTCTTTTTGAAGCCCTGTTTAATTCATGAACAAATTTTTGTTTTTCGTTTCTCTTCTTTCTCTCCCGGCCATCCGATGTATATACATATGAAATGCGAAACCTGTGTATTTAATCCACATGAAATTAGTTGGCAACATCCGTTTGAGTAACAGCGCCGAGTCCATACAGTACACAGCGCGTCGACCCAACAACATCATCAGCAATCCCAACACCAGCAGCAATCCCAGCAGCAACGCCCGCCGCCTGCTCATCAATGTGCCACGCCAGTATCCATTGCGATCCTCGCTGCGACGCCACAAGGAGAAGCAGATCGGCGGCAGCCAAAGCAACAGCAGCAACAGCATCAGCAACGAGCAGTTGACCGGCGGCACGACAACAGCAGCAACTGTTGCTGCTGGAGCAGCGCCGCTGAACAAGCCGCTGTTGCTGGTGGGTCTGTTGCCCGGCGCGGAGCAGCCGCCATCGGTGCGCAACTCCATAGCGGACTGCGGCAGCCTTGACTATGACAAAATGGATACCATGGAGCATCAGCTGAGCGTGGAGTGCAGCACAACGTTGAGCTTTAAGCCGCCGCGGCTGTAACAGTAGCGGGCGCAGCCGGAGGCCAAGTTGGAGGCAAGCGACGCAGGCTCAAGCAACATTTCAAAATCCGATTTAATTAATTCAATATTTGACTAGCGTTTAATTCAACTTTAAATGGAGTTTTATTACTAATGGGCAAACGCCCAACAAAACACACAAACACATCTATATAGTATATATATATATATGTATTTGTATTTATGTGTATAGCAAGAAAAGGCTGATTTTCTTTAGTTTATAACGATACAAATTAACGGATATTGCAACAAATTGCCAAATTTTATTTGAGACAACAAACAGGCAGCAAATAACGGTACGAAATGAAATTTAATGCATTATTTTGTTGTACCCTTTCGAATATATGTTTTAATTCTATTCAAGAATCTCTACGGTTAGTTAAAACAGAAAAAACAGAATTCAAAACACTCGGGAACATTGTCAATAGAAATCATAAGCTAGGTGCATTTCTTTCTGAAACCTATGAACTGAGCATTAACAGAAATATTAAAAGCAACGACACACATAGAACTAAACCAATTTCATTTTTGTACATACATTATTACAGATTTCAAACCTTTATTTTTTTTAAAGCAAAGACTCATCCTGCAATCAAAATATGGAGTTCAATATTGTAAAATTCGCAACTCAAACTCAATATTAATATATACGTAATAGTACAAAAATCAGGTCGAAAATTTAAAAACAAAAAAAAAAGAGGAAGATGAAATATGCATATTATAAATACACAAAAACTTATAAAAACCCATGTATATACAATTACGTAGCATTTAATTAATGCCCAAACTATACCCTCTCCTTTAGCCTTAACCATCTAATAACTTGCTGATTTTTCGCGTTATTGTGCGAAAAATCCATCAATGTTAAAATTCACTCGCTGTGCTACAAATTGTGTTTGTTCGAAAAAAGAAAACAAAACAACAACAAAAAAAAAACAACTTGAATTTATACTTACATACATATATGTAACTAGGCTTAGTTAAACTTTAAACAAAAATATTCTAAATTGGCCATTTCATACATAGTATGATGCCAATCTAATGGAGCTCTAAAAAAAAAATCATTTAAAAAGTGAAGAGAAAACAAGCAACACCAATTTGTTGATTACCAAAACTTTTATTATCAACATCATTTTTATATTGCCCGTTTATGTTAGGCTATAAGCTATATAAATATATATATATTGTATATGTATAAATCTTACATAGTACGATTTCGAGTGAAGTACATTCATTAGCCCTTAAATATTATAATTCTTATGGTTATTGTATATGATTGATGATGAGAATCAAAATGGAATTTGCCGTATAAAGCTAGACGGGTCCGTTTCCATATAGATAAAGTACATTCATAATTTTTAATTCTGCTGCGAATGCATTTCGAATATATTTTTCAGATATATTTTTAAATTGGCTTCTTTTGTATATAAATAAAAAGAAAAATAATTTGACATTCTTTTTCTATTTTCATTTACAAAAAAAGTTACATATAAATTGTATACAAGATTTCAAGAATCAAACATATAATGTAACAAAAAATTATTGAATGGGAAAAATAAATAACTAAATTCAAACATTTGAGACCCAAACAAACTTAACTTAACTGAACTGAAAATTAAAGGGCGATTGGCTTAAATGCGAAATTTTCGAACACATTATTTGGTCAGCTCTCTTTAGCTTAATCTATAATATATAATTCACAAGCTCAGATTAGTTGTACAAGGCTTTATCTACTATAATGCCATGCTCGATGAGAAAGCTTTCCACATCGGAGGCGAAGAAGTCGTCACTCAAATCGTCAGTTAATCGCACAAAGTTGCCAATTAGCGCCTGTGCCTTGTACACCAATAAGGCGGGCAATCCTTTGGTGCGGAAGTCGCGGCTCATGCCCGCCACGGAGCTGCAGATCTTGGCAAACTTAATGGACGGATACTCGCTGGCCAGCGTGTCCAGGCAGTTGTTGAGCGTGGTGCAGGCTGATTGGGTGCGATCATAAATGTGTATAATAATGGTTGTGTGCTTATTTTCCTGTTCCACACAAGACAGAAATTCCCCGTGCGTGGCCAGCTGAAGCACCTTGCCGAATTGCTGATGGTGTCCTGTTTGGCGCAGCATTTCGGCCATACGCTGCTTTTGATATTGCTGCAGAAAATCTTCGCTCATCAATTCCGCAAACTCGGCATCCAGTTCCTCTTGCCGTTTGCGCTCCTCATCCTCGGCGGCTGTTGCAGTCGTCATGCTAAGCTTTTTGGCCAGCGCCAATCGTTGGCGTTCCGTTTCTTCGCGCCGCTCTGCTTCGAGTTGTTTGAAACGCTGCCAGTCCTGCACAACGCCCTTAGGTCCTGTATTGGTTGAGCCTTGCTGGCGAAAACCACCCGGGGGCGCTGCGTTAGGATCTGTGTTGATTGTCAATCCGGAGCCCGCTGCAGCTCCTCTGCCAGAGCCACGAGCGCCTTGCTCACCGTCGCCATCGTCTCCATTGTCTTCACCCTCACTGCTGCTGCAGTAGTACTCCAGTTTTTCACCTAGTAATTTATCCTCTAATGTGGCCATGATGTTGATTAAGTGTTTCTTTTTTAATTTAATTATAGAAAATTAATCAACTGCAAACAAAATCGCGAAGAGGTCTACAAAAGTATCGATATCTTTGCAGCAACAGCTGTTTTTGTAGACGTATTTGGTGAATGGCAAATATTGAAAAACCTATCGACAATTTCAGTGTTAAAATCTCGTGTGTTTGTGCGAACTATTTAAAAGTGTTTAATACTTTAACTTGTGTGTTTTACGTATAATTTTGAATATTTCGCGTAGATGAGCGGGCACTTCAAACTGATCAATAATCTGCTCCATGCTATTAAAGTCAGCCTTCTCCAGTTCATCGCACGAGTCATCGTCGCTGCACGCGGGATTCGACAACGCCAATCGCTCCGCAAATGAGACAATTCCGCACCAGGCTCGAAAATCCAAGTTTCCACTGCCATCCTGCCGATAGGCCAAATGCTTAAGTGTATTTTTCACGTTTTTCTCAGTGCCATGAAACTCTAAAACATCCTCCAAAGCCTGAGGCAAACTGCGCCACACCATTGTGCGCTCCTTGTACTCAATAAGAGGCGCATCATCATTGCCCAATGCCAGCTCCGTTTCCGGCTCCTCGCAGCGATTGAGGTACTTGAGAAAGACGCGTTTATAGAGCTGCTTGCGCTGCTGCGAGACCCACACATATTTGCTGAGGTAATGCAAAGGTGTCATGGCTAAAAACGGAGAAAGTCAAGTTGCCGGAAGAAGCTTTTACAAACTTCGAACTAATACAAACTCTTGAGCATGGACAGATCCATGGGTACATCGAAACGCGTGGCGGATTTGGAGAACTTGCGTGGCATTTTGGAGCTCGCATTAACAGCTGTCTTGTCCACTTCTTCTGCCGGCTTGTGCACTGCCTTCGGTATGTACTTGATGGCCTCTCGTAGAGCTCGATTGAGCTGTAGATAATTGCATGTATAAGAATTTCATAGACCCTAGTTGTACTCACATATCTGCCAAAGGTGTTTTCAATTAAATCCACTGTAAGATCCGTTTTGAGTGCCTGAAAGGCTTCGTCGGTTAGGAAACTGCCTTTGAGTAAAATGGGTTCCCGGTCAATCTCGCGCTTGTCCTTGACCAGCAGACCTGCTGAGTTGGGTATCAGGCTGGGTCTGGTGCTGGCATTCAGGGAATCGGGTCCCAAGGTAGCCACCTGGGTCTCCGGATCCTCGCTTAGATGAAATGTGGTTGTAGCTAGAAGGATTCAAATATTACTTACGTACATTCCCGTGAATATTGTCTGTATCCTTTACGCACCCTGCGTTGGCTTAAGCTTCTTCCGCTTTTTGCCTCGTCGCGCATCCTCATCGCTTATGTCGTGCTCGTTGATGCAAGTCTTGTGCGGCTTTGGCTCCACTTCAGCGTGTTGATCCTCGCCAGGTGCTAGTGTGGCTGTGGCCAGCGAGGATTTGGGTCGTTGCTCATTGGACTGTTGTCGCCGGGCCTTCTTATCCTCGTTGGCGCCCGCACTCTTTGGTTTCTTACCCTCCTCAATGCCGCTTTGGGTCAGCTCCGAGCTGGGTTTCCAGTAGAGCGTCTCCTGCGAATGCGATCGCCGCAGATCCAATATAATCTTCTTGCGCTGAATGTTCTCATGCTTGCCCCACTCCGGCGTAATGCAACGTCGATAGAAGGACCCTGCGCTAGTTCGCGTATGGATGCTCGTCACAGTTGGTGAGGGCGTCATGGGTCTGGAATCGGTTTCCGCATAGCGTCGAAACAGATCCTCTGGTATGTTGTCCGCCTCATGCGGCTGCAGTTGCTCCTCAAGCGGCTTCTCCTTTGCCGCTTTCCCTGGACTCTTGCCCTCAACGGCCAGCGACGTTTTCAGCTGGTTGATGACATCCTTCACTGCCGGCGGCGCTGGATGATTGCACAGCACCGAACAGCCTTTGGCAAAGGGATTGAATAGCCCACCAAAAGGACGCAGCGAAAGGGGCATCGGCTGCGCCTCAAATTTCAACGGCATGCGCGAATCTGCATGGTGATTTTTGCGCTGTGGGCGCCCACTCGGATTAGATGAACGTCTACGTAAAATGGGTTTTCCTTTACCTTTTTGACAAATTTGATCTGTCGCTTGGGCGTAGGCACCAGGCCGCTGCGTGTTGTGCCGCTCATCCTTGATGGGATACAACTGCGAGAAGTCAGCAAAGCCGCCGGCGTCCATAAACAACGAAAATCCGTTGCCATGGCAAACGTCAAACGACGGTTTGAACGCTTCTTCGTGGAGGCGCATACCCCAAATGCGTTGCCATATGAAATTGTTTAGCTAGAGGCCAGTTCCTTCAATAAGCTTGAGCAAAAAGCAAAATTGAAATTGAAGCACAGCTTTTCTTTTCGTCCCCTTTTATAAACATTTAATAGCTTTGCAAATATCAGAAACTTCTGCATTTCCGCTCAGATTTCGAGTAAGGAACGACCCTAATTGAGCAGAACATTTATTTTGACTCGTAACTGTCCTTTAAAAAAGTTGGCTACATTTAGGCTACATTTTTATAAACAATTTATTGGCTTTAGATCAGTTTTGTTTGTTTGTTGTTATCGCTTATGACTAAGAGTTAAGTAATTGAAATATGAGCGCTTCGCATTTGCATTCCGCTCCTCAGTACAAGGAGCCACGATGATGCAAATGCCTCAAGCGCTGATCCAGCAGCTGGCGCTCGCTAGACAGGGACACCGTCGATGAGGATCGATGTATGGACGGCAGCACTTGGCTATCTCTAGACCGGGCAGCTGCTGTGCTGCTTGCGATTGCTGTAGCAGCAATTGCTGTCTCAATCGGACCCAGGCCGGCGGTGTTCCCCACGGCGCGCGAGCGCAGCAAATGATTGTGCAGCGTGGAGCGGGTGCGGCGGCGCAGCGAGTTGTTGAATGAGATCTGCAGCGAGAGGCGCTTCTGCGAGAGCGAGGCCAGATGATCCGGCGATAGCTCTATGATCTGCGAGTTGGGCGGGGCGCCGTTGGCCATGGCAGCTGCCGTGGCAGCACTGTAACTGGGCAGCGAGCCGGTGGGCGAGGAGCCACCACAACTACAGGTGATGGAGTTCAGTGAAATGGTGTCGGAATTGGCATCGTTGGCAGCGCTGGGCGATGTCTCCACCAGGGTGTACACCACCGCTGGCTCCTTGGCGCCGCTCGCTTCGTTGTTCAGATTCTCAAATATCTTGATGACAGGCATGGCGGGCGTCAGTATAATGCCCGCTTTGCGGAACTCCTCGAGTGCATCGTCATAGGTGGGCAAACCCGAGACAATTGTGTAGGAGGGCAGCGATTCGACCTCATATTCAGGCGGGCAGTGGCGGCAGACTTCAATGGTGGCATCGCCATGATTGGCACGATCTGAAAGCAGCCAAAAATTTTCCAAAATTAAATCAATGTTAACAATTGTGCATTGGCCTACACCCGTGTGGTTGGCGGGCAACAGAATACCTCCACAGCATGTCCACCGCTTGTCGTAAGAGGCGACTAAGAGAGACACGTAGATCTTCCTCTCTCCCGGGTTTGGCTCTGGCCAAAACTGGTTTTCACCCGTGTAGTTTCTTTTCCTAGTCCTAGTCGTATACCACAAGTCGAGCATTTCCTAGCCTGCTTATTGAGGCGGGCTACTTTGTGGGATTGTTTGAGTTGTTTCGCTGATAGTTTCAGCCCTTACAAATTGAATTCACCAATTATATATGCCATGCCTCTACTCCCAATTTTTCAACTCTTCACTCGCTGCCGGAAGTTACACAACATCCGCACAGCAACAAAGGGAAAAGGCAAAAAACAATCCAAATTGCCAAATCAATTCTGTTGTGCCCTTGGGACGATCCTCTTTTATGCAGCTACCTTTAGTTTTTTGTGTGTGTTTGTGGGGATTGGTTGGTAAGGGATGGGGAAGGGGGTACATTAATGAAATTTTTATGTTTAAATGTCGCAGCATTCTGTTAAAAGCTACTAAAACTCCCGCCGGCGGAAATGTGCAAGTTGCGTCCAACCCTTAAAAGTAGGCAACAACAAAATGTTTATTGCAATTGCCCTGTTGTAGAGCGGTGGGAGGGGAGGGGGGATATACCCAATGTCCCCCCTCAGTGAGGTTAGAGGTGAGTCAGCAGCAAGCTGCCCCCCATCAAGTAACATAGAGAAAACTGTTGATGCGGCAAGCGTTTAGAGACGTGCTACACGATTTTGAAGATTAGCCGCATGCTGCGTGGCTTTAAAAAACACACGAAAATGGCGCATGCTTCGTTTCACACCCTTTTGTGTGGGCTGAAATTCAAAAGCTGGCGCTCGGGGTGGTACCGGAAAACCGGCAGCGTTTTCACACCCACATGAACGGACGTTCATTTTTTATGCAACGCTTTGTAAGCTTACGAAATTAAATTGATGATGCACACAGGACACAGCCGAGGAGCAGACAAAATGGAAACTCATTGTCATTTGTGTGTAGGCGGTGGATGGGGGATGGGTAAGGGTAGTTTAACCATATGGTAAGCCCATCCTGACTCCGTTAAGCTACTCCGTTGTGCAAACAGCTAAGCGAGCTTAAGGCTTTTTGTAATTTTCAATTGACTTTTGTTAATTGCGGTGAAAAGACTTGATTTAGTGACATATCGATGCTGCATATCTCGATCTATCGATCTAATCTGTTGCTTGCAGCGTATCGATAGAGTATCGATAGTGGCTGCACTTTAATTTTGCCTAGCATCGATGCTTAAAGCGGCGGCGAGTCTCTCAGTATTAAAGCAGCATCGAATATTAAATTATGAGCTGGTGGGGGCGCCACTTAAAAGCTTCATTTGATGAACTGTCTGTCGCCATAAGCCCCCAGGATATACGCATTTCAATTCCCCGAGCGTAGCTTAGCGCCACAATAAAATGAAGTGCAGCAGTAAAAAGAACGGAACGGTATCTGTATATAAAAAGAGAATGGCACAAAGTGTAAGTGCGTTGTGCATAAAGTATGCGCCGCAAGTTATAAGCCAAAAGCAAAATGGACACCAAAAACCTCACTAGTCAATATGCTAAAGGTCATGGAGAGCTCAAGCGCCAACAACTATAAGCAATGGTAGCAGCGGGAGCTAACAACAAGAAAAAGAAGCAAAAAGCATAACCTAAGGCAGGCCAAAGATATTTGGGCGTTCACGAAAAAGTTAAACACACTTTATGTTGGGGGCTGTGCTGGCAATGCGTTTGTGTTTTTTCTGTATGCCCTGCTCGAGGGTATTATGGTTTTGTCATAAACTAGGCTCTCCTGTCGTAAAAGATGGTCTTTCTGTTGCAGGAAGAACATATGTAACAAAAGTTGCTTTACTCAAAATGATATATCTCACAAACTAATAGTACGACAGCTGTCAAATTTATACACGTCTTTTGAAGGTTAGGATTTAATACTAGTAGCGCCATCTATGTGTCAGCCTACGACCGAATCAGATTGCTTTATCAAATAGCTGCCAAAGGATCAATCGGTCGAATTTTATTTTTTTTGTGTTTCAAAATATCTTGACCTAACTTGGCATATTTAACAAATTTTGACCAACTTTGAACCTCTATTTCAAAGGGTTCCCTGGGTAGAATCGGTCGGAAAATTAGTTTTTGTATCGAAAACTTTTCTGTCATTCCAGATATCTTCCCCAAACTTAGCAATTGCAAGCTTCGCTATGTTCCTCAAATGTCCGAGCCATATGTCTGCAAGGGTATTTGGTCTTCGGCATGCCGAAAATAGTCTTGGTTTTTGTTTTTTGCGGATTTGGGCGCCAAAACCGAAGGAAAAAAGAAAACAAACGACGCAGCTCAAGCAGCCAAAAATGACGTGCCCAGTAGGATGTTGGCGAATGGCGACATGGCGAATGGTTGTGCCCCCGTGCCTGCCAGGCGTAAGCAAGAATAACAACAGCCACATTGGGGGCGAGCTCTCGGTCTGTGATGCTTGCCAGGCACGTAAGCAGTTGATGCCCCTCTGTCCCGCTCTGTCCACCCTTCACATGAAGACGCCCCAAAAAAACCCACAAACCACAGTTTTTGGATGCTGCTGCTGCTGTCGTTCGCTTGTGCTTTGTCCTTTGTCCTTGGGGTTGGTAAACACGGCCCCAAATTGCCGTTTAAATTTCTCCCCAATGTGTGCGGCCGAGTGGGGCCATGGGCGGCCTTGAAACGTTATTATGACTATTGTTAGTTGCCAGCCGGAGCGGCATCTTCCAAAATACCCTTCACCCGTCCACTTGCGTTTCAACCCACGGGTACACACTGCTCCGGCTTTATATTTGAAGTTGTGGCTGTCAGACAATGTCTGGCTGATTATCCTGTAGGCGTTAACTGCAACCTATACCTCCCAGTGGAGTCTGATTCATGTCAAACACTTGAGACTCTCCGGTTTATGCGTCTAGCAGGGTATGGCCAACGACGGAAGGGGTCTTTCGCTTAACTAATTAAACTTGTGCCAGGTATGTGCATGCAAATATTTTTTGTTGCCCACTCTGAACAAGCATGTTTTTTATTTCGGAGTCGACTACTCAACGCATGTTCTGAGGAAATTGCAATGTTTTTCTTCAGCTGCGGCGCTGTGGAAACAAGAAAAATGATTATGAACATGTTGGCATGACTGCGAGCACGTTGAATGCGGGAAAAGGATGTTCTTTGGTTCGATCTCAAGGGCTTTCGTATGAGCTGCAGCGAATGTTGACCAAATGGCAAATGTCAATAATACGACCTACGACCCATATATATTTAGTGGTATAGTTGTGTACATTTGGGCATACCGAAAAACTTCCCTTTGTTTTTTGTATCTTATGTCCTATCACTTTTTCTCTGTGTTTATTTAGCCGGCAGTTGTCAAGCCAAACTAGTCTTAGTTGGCGTAGCGCATTAAAACTAACTGCTAAATTATTAGGAAAGTAACCCATCCATCTCAGGGATCTTGGGGGTTGTGCCACGGGGGAAAAAAAATGAAGAAAAATTGCGGCATGTCAGTTAAAGGCACAACAACAATAAAAAGGACCAAAACAGACAACATGAAGACATTGCCGGAGCAGGGAACACGCGCCAAAAGCATTCAACAACAACATTAACAACAGGAGGAGCAGCAGCAGGAGCAGCAGCAGCAGCAGAAGCGGAAGGAGCAGCAGGAGCAGCAGCCGCCAGGACGAAAATGTAATAAGTGTGTCTATTTGTTCGCAAATATTTCATTTCCCGTGCCTTTATTTCAGTTTTGGCCAAGTCGCCCGCCGCTCGCACAATGCGTTTATAGTCGCTAGAAAAATGAGGAAATCACGAAAATGAGACCAAAAACTTAATTTAACTTTACGATAACAATGACCAACAATTTAGCGACAAGATGTCCTCTGTGGATCATATTTGCAAAGGTAAGCCCAACAATCTAAACCTGATAAATTAGTTAATTAATTATATCTATATTAAGTCTTAAGTTAAGAACAGAAGTTGTCGCTGCTCCTTGTTGTATTTAATTATTTATTTATTGTTTAGTTTTCTTTGAGCTCTTGTTTGGCTTCTCTTGATTTATAGCAAATTCTTTTGATTTCTTTTGCTGTTTGTTTGTTGTTTTTATTAATTTAACTTTAAAGTGTTTGACTTATAATGCCGCATAGGCAGTTAGAGTTATTTATGCAGTGCACAGCGCACATGTTGCCGCGGCGTTAAATGTTATTAAAAACAATATAAACAACTTGCCAATGGCTCGGTTCGGGGCTAAAGGGGCCCCGGCCGGAGTCGTAGCATGTTGTTTATGTGCGTCGGCGTCGACGGCGACGGCGACTGCGACTGCGGGGAGCGCACTGAAAAGTGGACCACAAAGTACCAGTTGCCAGGCAGGCAGCAGCCTGTTTAGTCGTGGGGGGCGGCCTGAGGGCGGAACTCGGCACTGCTGCGGCTGGCTGTGCCGCAATTTTCAAATTGACTTTTGCACATGTTGCCCGGCGTAACAAAATGCGGCCAAACAATGTACACACGCTTCGTGCTTGATAAAAAAAAAGTATATATACATACATATATACACAATAGGCCTGGTCTGCTATTTATATATTTGTGTGTGCTTGTGTGTGTGTGGCTCTGCGGGGCATAACGGTTAACCACGAAGTTGCGCAAAAAGACCAAGTCGAAGTAGGCCCGCCCCGCATAAAACGAAGAAAAGTAACAGCAAAAGATGCACTGGAGGCAGCACTTAAAACGTGCCAATTGAACGCGTGAGCCGCATAGATAAAATTTGTTGGCCTGAGTGCCAAATATGGTTGCGCAAGAGTCAAATATCTATCAAAAGAACATTAGCCATGGTAGCAGCAGCTGCTTTGAGCTTAAATGTGCTTAAACTTCCGTTATATTATCACCAACTCGCTATTATCGATGATGCATCAATCGATTTGATCATTTTTTAGCATCGATACCCTTGTGAACTTGCTCTTGCTCGTGCTCTCGCGGCATATTTTAGTACAAGAGCAACAAAACTATTATGTTAGCACTGTATTATGTTAGTAACATTTCAATTACAGTGATAGGCTTGCCACACAATTTCAAGTTCGCAAGATCTTAACAGGGTGGCAATAATGATCTCCTTTGTTATTGTCTGGCAGCACGAATCAGTGAACCAAGTTCACTCAACCGCCATCTGGCAATACTGCGCGCTCAAAGAACAAAAGAGACGCAGTGAGAGGGAGAGAGTGACAGAAAGAGAGCAAGAGCGTTAAAAAATCTGCCAGCGGCGTCAGTGGATTTAGTTTTGTTGTAGTGGCCTCAGTGGTGCGCGTTGCCGTGCTCTCAAAGCAATAATAATTATAATAATTTAAAAGAAAAAAGGTGGAATTAATTAATATAAAACGCAAACAAATCATTTTCGGTATTGTGACATGTTAAAAATGACAAATGTGCCGATGCCGACCACGCTTAAGCTGGGCAGCAGCGGCAACAACAGCGCAGCAGCGACAACAAAAAAGGCACAGAATAATGGAGTAGCAGCCGTCGCAGCTGCGTCGCTGCGCTGCGCAACAGACGACACGGATGAATCGGATGAGGACTCTGAGTCGGATTTGGATATTGAAGAGGAAGACATATTGCTGGACGATGCCGATGATGTTGTGCTGCAAATCGATAGCGAGGATGAGGCTGAGCTGGAGGCACAGCGCATACGCTTAGACGATTTGAAGGCAGCGGCCGCAGCAAAGTCGCAGGTCAGTAACGGTAAAGTGACAACTGCAGAGCAGCAGCAGCAGCAGTCGCAGCCGCCGTCGCTTCCAGCGTCGCGCAAGCCGCGTGGGCGTCCACCGGGCAGCACAAATAAAAATAACAACAAAAACCAGAAAAACAAAAACAAACGCAAAAGCTCAAATAGCCCCTGCGCCAGCGTCAGCGTTAGCGCAAGCGTCGCTGTTAATGTAGCTGTCTCCGTCCCCGCCTCCTCACCCGTTGTGGCTGCCAAAATACACGCGGATGAGAAGGCGCATCGTTTCATTTACAGTTGCGTTAGCTGCTCTCTGTTGTACGGGGATGCTTCGGGGCTCTCTCAACACTGGCACAAAGAGCACCTGCTGCAGGTGGAGAGGGAGAGCAAACGCGTTAGAACCAAAGTGCCGGCTGATGAGCAAGTTAAGCTCGAGCCGCCACTGGAGCTGAGCGACGGGGTCCAACTGAGCGACTTAAAGTGTTGCGCGCAGCTACTCTTGGTGGAGGGTGAGGATGACATATCCAAGCAGCAGCTTGTTTGCTCTGCCTGTAATGAAGCATTTGAGCAGCGCAAGGAACTGCATTTGCATTTGAGCGAGAAGCATGGCATCTTCAAGCTTTTGGTGCCCAAAGAGGAGCCCAGCGAGCCCATGGTCAGCATACCATCTGATTTGGCCCATGGCAAGTCCATTTCCACTACCGCTCAGGTGTCGGCGCAGGTGCAGCTGCAGGTGCAGGTGCAGGCACTGGAGTTGCCAGAGACGCCGCCGCCAGAGAAGGAAACAGCTGATAAAGATGATCTCGCAATGATAAGCGCTATGGTCGCGGAAATTGCTGCCGAGCGCAGTCCCAAGGTCAAGAAGATGATAATTAAACTGCCCGTAGGTAAGCGAGCAGGACGCAAGCGCAAAAAGGAGGAAAAACCAAAGCAGGAAAACGAGCAACAAGAGAGTCAAGCCACAGTCAGCAATGGCAAACGCAAGCGAGGCCGCAAGGCACAAAAGCCGGCACCGCCCGTGGAGCAGCAAAAGAAAGAAGAGGAGAGGATGCAACAGGAGAAGGAGCCAATAGATCAGGCGGAGAAGCGAAAGAAGGAGCAGCAACAGAAAGAAGAAAAGGTTCAGGTGCAGGGGGAAAAGGAGGAAAAAGAGCAGCAGCTGCAAAAGCGACCAAAGGAGCAGAAGGAACCGAAGGAAGACAAGGAGCACGTGCAGCAGGAGCCGAAGGAAAAAGAGCAGCAGCAGGTGGGGGACAAGGAATTACAGCAGGAGATCAAAGAGGAAGTGGAACCGAGACGCGCGCGCAAATCACGCAGCTATGTGGACTACGTTGTCGATATTAAGGATGAGGATGACGATTTGGAGGAGGAAGACAAGGACACTGACTCAGACGCTGAGAGCGTAACGCCACACAATACCTCCACGGATGATAGCCATGCAGCGGCCTCCATCAAGCGCGAATCATCTGAGGAATCGCAGCGTAACGGAACCATTCACACCTGTAATTTTTGCAGCAAAACCTTTCAGCGTTTCTCACGGCTGCAGGATCATCTGCGGCTGCACACCGGCGAGAAGCCGCATGTTTGTGGCCAATGTGGACGTGCGTTCCGTCTAAAAATGCGGCTGGCCGAGCATCAGTTGCGACATCGCACCGAGAAGGCATTCAAGTGCGAGCTATGTGGTCTGCCGCTGGCCACCAAACAGGACATGGCGCTGCATATGCGCCATCACAAGAACGATCGACGTTACAAGTGCGAGCGGTGTGGCAAGGGATTCGTGCGCAGCTCCGATCTGGCCATACACGTGCGCGTTCACACCGGCGAGAAGCCGTACAGCTGTGACCTCTGCGGCAAGGCGTTCCGTGCCCGCCAGAATCTCATTGTGCATCGGCGCACGCATCTCGGCGACAAGCCCATCCAATGCGAGATGTGCGACAAGCGCTTCTCCCGCAAAATCGACATGCGCGTCCACATGCGCAGGCACACAGGTAAGTGAATAGCTATCATCTCTTCTGACAGACCGGATCAAACGTTCTGCTTTCTCTTTTAGGCGAGAAACCGTTTAGCTGCACCTCTTGCCAGCGTGGTTACTCCTCGCGCGTAAATCTGCAGCGTCACCAGCAGCGCGAACACGGCGGACAAGCGGCCATCGAATCGCAGGAGCAGCAGGCATCTCCGGATAACACCAAGTCGAAGCCCGTGACGCGTCGTCCGCGGCGCGAGAAACTGCAGGAGAAGATTGCCGCACAGGAGAAGCTGCTGAATGATCTGAAGCGCAGCCTTAGCACGCTCAACGACATTGCGGAGGAGCCGCCGGCAAACCCAGTGATTGAGGGCAAACACAACATGGCTGAGCTGGCAGCTGATGCAGGCGCTGGCACGGCTGGGGGCTGCGCTCAGGTTTCGGTGACAGTTTCGATGCAAGTGGAGCCGGCCAAAGGGGATGATGATGAGGAGATCACGCCAGAGAAGGAGAATGCGCTGTCCAGCGGCTCAACAACGGACGCCGTGTCCAGCAATGGCAAGACAAAGACTAATCGCAAGATTACAAGCTACTTTACTGTAGTTGGACAGCAGGCGGAAATCTAAAGACTTATCAGACTCCAATCCACAATTCTTACTCATTAGCTTAAGATGCAACTGTACTTGAAATTCTGTAGCATAGTGTAAACCTCGCAGACTTGGAGACGATTTCACTTTCTTTATAAGATTTTCAATTTTGCAGGGATTAAGTATTTTCTATGTATACAGACTTATTATCATAATGAAGTCAAACCTATTGAAGAAGATTCATCTAACGATAACATTTTTTTTCGCATTTAATTAACATTAACGAACAGAAAAGACTACGTTTTAAAAGCATTAATTATATGAACAAAAAAAAAAACAAAAAAAAAGAACTTAAAAAAAAATAAGAGACTGCAAAGAGTTTATATATACATCATATTTTTTTATATGCACAGTCAAACTATAAATTGTAAATAATTTTAAGATTCAATATGAATTGTTTATTTCTAATATTGCAAAAGGCAGGCGCAAAAGCAAAGAACAAATTTAGTTCCATTTAACTTGAATTGTTATGGATTTCGTCAGATATTTTGTATAAAAAATCCATGACATATCGACTTGAATGATTATATACTTCTATACACAATATCTGTACCTCTTTCCACAATTTACAGAGTTGTTGTTCTG